ATTCGCAATTACAGAGACTATGTAAGTGGGAACATCTGTTCCTTTATGAAATGAGTCATTTTCTCCAAATGGCTCCACTGCATAAACACTGACTTTCACTTTAAATTTAATTTTGGCTTTTCATCTCTAGATATATTTGGGATTTTTGCTTGTGTTTACTTCACTGTCACCATTTCTTTCCTGCTTTGTTCTCTCCGTACCCTCAGAGGGGCAGCCCTGCTGGCCAAGATGTTGTGCGAGCCCCACCCCAGAGGTCTTGCTGATGACCACAGGCCACGCGCAGCAGCCGCTCGGGGACAGACCTTCTGCCCCTGCCTGGACCAGGGGTGGGGCCGAGGCAGGCTCTGCTTGAGAACAGTCCTCCCCACAGCTCGGCACTGTCTGGGGTGTGTTCTGGCGCACCACACCCCTGGCGGGCAGATGGAGAGGAAACTCCGGCCTTGCAGAGCTCTCCCCAGCCCTGCTCGGTCTGCCTGCCATGGGGCTGTTACTGGGAGTTTGGCCCGTAGGGTAGATCCCCTTCAGCTATCAGACATAGACCACGCCTGGGCCGCGTTTCTGTAGAGGCTGCCTAAATCTCTCCTTCCTCTTCCTTCTTTCTAGACCAAAATAAATGATTTGTGTCTTTAGGGAAAATCTTTCAGGTGCCTGGAAGTGATCTCATCATAACAATCATTCTCTGAAGGTATAGTCATATGACCAGGCTTCATCCCTTCTTTAATCCTTCAGCTGACATTTCCGAGGTCCTGGTAGGTGCCAGCCTCTGTGTGGAGCTTCAAGGAAATAGCTGTGGACAGAGCACTTGGGAGCTGGTCTCTGGAGTGTAGGTCTACAGCGGAAAACAAACAGCCGCAGCCTTAGCCAGTATTTCACGTGGCCTACTGTTTTCAGGCCCAGGGTAAATATGTTATCACATTCAAGCCACAAAACCGCCCCGTGGAAGGATGAGAATTAACCACATTTCACAGGGAAGAGACAGACGCTCAGCAAGGGATCCTAGCAACGGGGCAGACACAAGGCCTGCAGTGCCCTGCCTGGCACCCAGGCCACATGCTGGCCCACCACACAGTGCATGCACTGCAGCAGTGCCCAGCAGGGAGCCCCGCCTGGCCCCAGAGTCTGGTAAGGAGAAGGTCACTTGCCCGGATAACAGAAGGGACACATAGACACGAGGCAAGAGTGCAAGGCGTGTTTGAGGATGTCGAGACATGGCATGTGCATGGAGAACAGTGGGATGGGGGAGGGCAAGGGCCTTGGATGCTTTGGAGGCCTAAGTCCCTGGGTGCTTAGGCAGGAAAGTGGCTGCCACTGGGAAGATGAAGCAGGGACAGCCACTAGGAGCCTGCTAGGGCAATGCAGGCAAGTTAGTGGCAAAGAGAAGGGGACCTTTGGAGGGAGGTGACTCTCTGGCTTGAGCATGTGGACGAAGGCACTAATTCCAGAGACAGGTCACACTGGAGAAAGAACAGGTATGGGGAAAAGATGAGCTTATTTCCAACATACAGAGGTTGAGCTGCATGAAAATGTTTATTGCCATCTTGACGATATTAAGTTTTCTAATCCATGAACATGGGATGTCTTTCTTGTATATTTAGATCTTCTTTAATGTCTTTCAACACTGTTTTGTTTTCAGTGCACAAATCTTGCACTCCTTTCATTAAATTTATTCCTAAGTATTTTATTCTTTTTTATGCTATTGTAATTGAAAT